GTGTGTGTGTGTGTGTGTGTGTGTGTGTGTGTGTGTGTGACACAACCATGCGTGATATTCAACACCGAACCATGTGTGCAATTAAACCAATGCTGCTTTGTTTGACACACACACACACACACGCACACACACACACACACACACACACACACACACACACACACACACACACACACACACACACACACACACACACACACACATATATATATTGTATGTATTAACATTTTGATTCCCTCTGTGGCCTCTCGGCACGTCAAACCGCGGTGTGATGCGCATGGTTATTATGGGGGAATGTATGTGTGTTATGTGAATGGGGGGCATACTTGACTGCCAGAGGAGTGTGCGAGAGATTGGCAGTTTGCTGGGATGCGATGGCGACTTCGACAGCATCAAAAAGCGGCGTGAGACTCTGGGGCAGGAGGCTGTTGCTAGGGTATGCTTTGACTCAGCCCGGATTTCAGCCCTGCTCATCGATGATGGGCTGCGGTCAGGGGCTGCAAGGAGCCTAGGCTGGCATACATCGTATGTCCCGCTTGTCAAGCGTGTTCTACGAGTGGAAGCAGTCTCTGAAGACATTTTATCGGAGGTAAAAAAAAAAATTGGAAGGTGCTAAGTTGATAACTGACTTGCTGAATAAATATGGACTTTTATGAGGGGAATAAGCGTGTTCTTAGCCTTTTTTCAATTTAAGCTCAAGTAATTAAAGCAAGTTCTCGTTATGCCATGGACGTATGAAGGGAAAAAAGGTATTAAATTAAGCTGAACGCTCTCCGGTTTATGCCATGATTGGGTGTGAGATGGCGAGGGGTTCTGTTTATGGCCCAGGTTGCTTATCTGGGGGGCTGCAGTCCGGTTGCTGATCACCGGCAAGCATAGAAAGGACAAAACCAGGAAAGAAGAGAGCAGCAGAGAAAGAAAGAGAGGAAGTGGGGGTGATCTCACATCTGCTCCTAGACAACAATGCATCTAGACAGCATTGCACCGCAGCTTGATCACAGTGTGACGAACTCACCTGCCCTCCCCGCGGAGCATGGTCAGTGGGAGGCTGAACTTCGTATCCAATTGCAACCATGCTCACAGATTTACAGTCAGGTGCTAGATCACATTGTGGGGGCAGCTGCTCTTCCCCCATAGCAGTTATTGTCCTCATCCGTAACCCGTCACCCTGACTTATTGTCGCGATATGCTCTGCCACTCTCTCGTCTTTCAGTTGCTTTCCCACCCTCTCTCCTTCTTCCTCCCTGTCGTTTCCACTCCTCTCTCCTTATCCCTCTTCTTCACCTTCTTCCTCCTGCTCTTCCTATTCTCTGTGTCTCCCATTCTCTCCCATTCTCTCCCATTCTCTCCCATTCTCCCTCTCTCTCTCCCATTCTCTCTCCCATTCTCTCTCCCATTCTCTCTCCCATTCTCTCTCCCATTCTCTCTCCCATTCTCTCTCCCATTCTCTCCCATTCTCTCCCTCTCTCTCTCCCATTCTCTCCCTCTCTCTCTCCCTCTCTCTCTCCCATTCTCTCTCCCATTCTCTCCCATTCTCTCCCATTCTCTCCCATTTTCTCCCTCTCTCTCCCTTTATCTTGCTCTCTTTCCCTCCATGCTCCACTCTTTCTGCCTCCTCCTTATGGACCCCCTCTCCTGCGCCTATTCCTGCTCATGGATCACCCTGCTTGTCCTGGTTCTTTTGCCGTCGATGGTCCATGCTCTTGGTGCTGTCCTTTCCTCATTCTCACTGTATCACTGTCCCCACTCTTCATCTCCTTCTGCGTTATCCTACTCCTCTGCTGCCTCCGCCCCTGTGTCTGCTCATCACCCTCCTTTCCTTTTTTTCAGTAAATACTAAATTTATTAGTATTATTATTATTATTTTTTTTTTTAAATGGACCGTGAGTACTAGGAGAGGTGATAAGAGCATCCTCTCCTGGCAAGTCCTTATCACTGTAGTTCCTGCTGCTCTTGCTCCTCCTGCCTCCTCCATCCGCTTTAACACTCCTTCCCCAGCTGCTGCGGCTACTACTACCACTTCACATCTTTGTTCATGTCCATTTGACTTCTTTCATTGTTCGCTCTTCTGCTCCCAGCCTGCACTCTATTGTTTCAGAGTTTTTTTTTTTTTTTTTTTTTTTTAAAGACTTGATTTCAATTTGTATAAATGGGCAATAGGAGGCTGGGAAACAGTCAACATCTCAAGCCGGAGTACTGGGGCCAATACCGAACTAGGGGTTTTACTGGGAAACAGGTCTAGTGAGATCCCATGCCCAGTTCGGGGATCTCCCCTAACTAATCCACCACCTCATTTTAGAAGATGGCCCCGCGAAAGTACAGCCAACAAAAGGGG